ATATGAAACTTATATAAATTTTTTTATTCTCTACACAAATAGTACATACGGGTAATTACAATGCTTTTTCAATGTTAAATATGGTAAAAAAGGAGAGTTCTTAAATTGTTAAAACATAAAATCTGTATTGAACCTATAATTGCAAGTTTAAATTTTTATTTAATTTAATTTATTGATATGATATAAAAGTCATTGTTGGGTTAAGGAACTCGGGGCTTAAGAGACTAGGCGGAAGAGTATCAAATGGTCGAGAGCGCACATGTAAGGGATCAAGCAAATAGTGAGTTTTTTTGTGCTAGTTCGAATGTCTTTCCCCTTCCTTTAGATGGGGTTTATATGCGAATTACAACAGAGGGTTCCCGACCGTTAGTCCGGAGTCCAATGGTTTGGGCCCACTAAGATTGGGTCGTTCACTGGCAGCGCCTAACCACATCATTACCTCTAGGGCTGCTATACAAGATAAATTACAAATAGGGTGGTTAGAACAACTCTGCCAGAGGTATGGCAGGGGTCCAGTCGTGAGCCCCTTGATCTTGACTAATTAGACAGTTCCCATGTATGGGCCTGGTCTGCTGACGTCTTGGGCCGAGGCCGAGTGCGCATGATCTGTTCCCTGAAGTCCCTTGAAGGAAAGCCGGCCGAGGGTGGTCTTAGGATGACCACCCTGTTGAGGCTGAGTGTGGCCTGATGCAAAGGTGGTGTTACGGGATTATTATTATTATTATCATCATTATTATTAGTATTATTAGTATTATTATTATTATAGGTAAGGTATTATATATGGTTAGTTAATTAAGATTAGAGAATATTATTTTTGTTAGGTTATTAATTAGTTTCTTATTTTATTTAGTTTCTTTTATGGATTGGACTCTCTCAGGGTTCTAGAGTTTCATTCTATAAATTGAGATGCACGTGTTTAGAATTATTCAATCAATGAGAAACCATTTTTCCTAACCCCTAATCTCTTCCTCTCCCATCTCGTTCTTCTATTTCGCCGAACAAAGTGTCGTGTGATTCTCTCTTTCTCGCCTCTTTTGTTCTTGGAGCTCGAAGGTGCTCAAAATCCTTCCCTATCCGATACGATACCGTATCAATTGGTGCTCTCATTATCGAACGCATCACACATCCACCAAAAAACAAAAAAAAATGAAAAACTTGAACTGCTTCTAGCCGAATTGAAGTTGTGAATCGGCAGCCATCCAATTTTTCATCTTGACTTGGATAGTGGTGCTGCCAACAAATTTTCCAAATAGTTTCGAGCCCCAATTTGACTTTGCTTGGAGAATTTGATTGTGTGGAGGAGCAAATCCATAGCAACCCAATTGCTGACAAAAAAAAGAGACTCCATTGCTCGTACGCAGTAAGTTTTTTTTTTGTGTGTAGCCCACACGCATCACTTTCTGGTTTTGGGGAAAGCAATTGCAAATATATCTCAAGTTGCTCGCCAAAAAAAAAATCTATGGCACACGCAATGGATTCTGTGTTGGACAAACTTCTTGGTTTACTTGAGAAAGTTTTACGGGGACAAATTGAATTTTATGAAGGAGTGGGTGCAGTTGAAGATTCTGTGGATGAAATCATAAAGAAAATTCAGGCATTCCGTCAAATTGAAGGTCAACCAAAATTTGATTCCGAGGTAAATGCGTTCGCCGTAGATGCCTTTTGTTCAATACAAGATTTAGTTCGTGGTCTCCCAATTATGTCGAGTCTGATTCCTATAGAGTTATATATTTTAAAAACAACCATGATGCGCTCTATAAGGAAACACATCGGCACTCCACGAGATTTGGCCCCTACAGTACCTGTGCAGAACATAGCTCTGCACGATCAGGAATTTGAAAAGAAAATTTTTATTGATCCTGTTGGTATTCCTGATGATGATCTTATTATTGATCCCATAGATGTTGTTCCTGATACCATTGCTGATGTTGTTGTTGATGCTTCCGGTGATGATCAACGAGACCACACTGTCCAAGCAAAATATTCAAGTGATGGTGTCATTTTTTATCGATGCACGGAAACGTTTGGGACGTCCGAAAGTGATGTTGTTGTCCTTTATGATTTTGGGGATGTCACGCGTGTTGGCAAGATTTTCTTGGTATTGGTTCTTTGGAGTTATTTGTTTGGAGTTGTGAATGCTTTGAGCTTGGCAAATTCTTTTCATGCTCCATTCATAAAGGTCTTTGACCCCGGAGGATGTCTGTTCGCAACGCATTTGCATGATTCCTCGTTTATTCTAGATTTCCAACTTGAGGACAAGTTGGTTTTCGAGGCGGGGAGAGTGTTACGGGATTATTATTATTATTATCATTATTATTAGTATTATTATTATTATTATTATTATAGGTAATGTATTATATATGGTTAGTTAATTAAGATTAGAGAATATTATTTTTGTTAGGTTATTAATTAGTTTCTTATTTTATTTAGTTTCTTTTATGGATTGGACTCTCTTAGGGTTCTAGAGTTTCATTCTATAAATTGAGATGTACGTGTTTAGAATTATTCAATCAATAAGAAACCATTTTTCCTAACCCCTCATCTCTTCCTCTCCCATCTCGTTCTTCTATTTCGCCGAACAAAGTGTCGTGCGATTCTCTCTTTCTCCCCTCTTTTGTTCTTGGAGCTCGAAGGTGCTCGAAATCCTTCCCTATCCGATACGATACCGTATCAGGTGGCCCTCCTAAAGCTTTAGCTTCCTCTTGCTCTTACCCTACTAGGTGGGCCTTGGCACGGTTGGGCCGAATACTCCTATTCCTGGATATCCATCAGTCATACTGACTAATCCATCATGAACGTGAACCTAGAGAAGAGAAAAATGATCAATACAGTCGGACTAGAAAGGTCGTTTTAAAAGGACTAGTATCGTAGAAGACTGCATCAAACTAATTTATCATGAATTGATCATAACTAGCTAGTCTGATCTTCACAAAAAAGAGAATGACCAGATAAGACCACAAATCTTATCTAGTCTGGTTTGTCGTCCAATCCCTAGTCCTAATGTACAAATAGTCTAATGAACAAAGTTCGTTCTATACAATTTTTTTTACTACTTATTTTTATGAAAAAATCATATAAGATGAATTTAGATCAAATCAACTCTATTACAATTAGATCAGATCGTATTAAAAAATATTAAAATATTACTCCCTCCGTCCTATAATGATCTTCTCGGTTCGCAAAACGAAGAAAAATCTCAAATTTTCAATCTATTTTATTTAAATATTGGTATAGAAATAAAAAATAAAACATACATATTTAAAAACTACACCAAAAGTTCAACAAAACAAGTGGTGACAAGAATATTTTATTTTATCATATAGGCCATGAAAAAACACAAATAAATATAAATTCCCGTGAAGTTGGAATAGTATTCTGGGAAGATCATTATATGACGGAGGAAGTAATATTTTTTCAGTGATTATTTAATAAATACTATTTGATTAAATCAAATTACTTTTTGCTAAAGTTACATACACCGAGATACTACTTAATATTATAATTTTAAATATGATAAATAATGATATTATAATTTTGAAACAAATGGAATAATATTATTATTATTACCGAGTAATAATATACTTTCTTCACTATATATATATATAGAATAACTACTCATTTCATTTCACAGAGACTAAAAAAACTATAGTGATATTGAAAAGGTATTAAATATTACAAAGTAAATGTTTAAATTAGTTAATGGTTAGTTATTGTCAATAATTTTTTATTTTACTTCTTCAATGTATATTGAATTCTAATTTTCGTTTAATGAATCTAATAATTCTAAAATAAAGTGCTTGATTGTATTATATGTTTTTGAATTAATTAAAAATTATATGAATGATCATTATAATACTCACTCCGTCCTATAATGTTCTTCCCGGTTCATTTTACGAAGTTTTACCGACTTTATTTTCAATTCAATTTATTTGATTGTAGGTGTAAAATTAAAAAAATGAAATTTATATATTTAAAAACTATATCAAAAGTTCTACAAAACGGAGTATTATTTTATCAAATACCTAATGAGAATAGGTAAAGAAAGTGATAAAAGTTTGACCGTGTAAAAAGTGAGTGGGAAGAACATTATAGGACGGAGGGAGTATTTTTATAATATTGTAATAATTTTAAATTTATTTGAACAAATTTAAATTTAGGCATACCAGATCAGATTTAATCACAAATCAGATATAGTTATATAAAATCAATTTAGATAAAAAATTCAAAAATTCATATCAAATTCAATCAGATCAGGCAAACGAAGGAGGGAATGGCCTACCTTGAGCCCTTGACTACCTTGGTTCAATTCATGACAAGAACAAATGTGACTATCTATTTATGAAAATAAAAATTATTATATTGGTCACATAAATACACCATGGCTTGTTACCTGCCTTTCTGTCCCTACCTCCCCTTTGGATTCGAGTTGGATAGCCTTTTTATGTCTTCCCTACTTTCGTTTTTAAGAAAAAATTTACTTCACATACTTTCTTTTACCTCAAAACACATTACAATTATTTGGAAAAATGGTCTCTCTAAATTTAAATTATACAAAAAAACATAGATACATTTCTTTCGAGACACGCAAAAAATGATTTATTTCCATTTTTTTCGGTTATTTTTGAGTCTCACCTTCTTTGTCTTTTTAAAATTAATTTGAACCACATAATTTTTACTTTAAAGAATTTTTTTGCCAAATTAAACTAAAAACTCTTTTTGAAACCGAAGACTGAACTTCATTTAGACACCAAAAGAAGTATTACACGGAGTATAAGAAGGTATTGTCTCTCAAGCATTACATGTGTAATATATCTTACATCTTCACATATTCTTCGTATCATACCTACTCTGTCCTAAAAAAATTGTGCTGCTGTAGTTTTAAGGTTATGATGTTACGTTTTTCTCTCATTAGAGTATCAATTTATCATATAGTCTAACTTGTCACGTAGTGACATACACGAAGTACATTATAGAAATTGACTGCAACAGTACGCGACTCATTAAAAACAATTTTTAAAACATAAATAATTAGGTATAATCAATTTAATAATCACAAATTCTCAAACCATATCATTTTATTGGTGAGCTAGTGGCATATATACGCCTAGCCAAACATGCTCTAATCATACCTTACTTTTAAGAAAGGAATTTATGCAACAAAGCAAATGGGTATGTGCATATGCCTCTCTGCGGTTCTAAATCAAACAGGCCAATGGATTACAGCTCCTACACACCACTATCTTAAAAAGGTCTTCCCCTCAACTCCCAAAGAGTCAATTGAGAGAAAAATCTAACTATAATTACAGACCGACTAGCAAAAATTAATATATAAACTTTATATCAGAGTTATAATTTTGTCTATCCAAGATTCACGTTTAGTTTCTATATCTTCTCACAAAAGTTATTCGGCATAAAAGCTAGTATGAAAAAAGACATGTTTCACCCAAACTAATGTGTCTAATATCAGTCCTAATCATAATTTCAATCGTAATCCCCTAATCCAAATTGTAATCCTCTAACCCAAATCATAATGTTAATCCTAATTTTAATCCCAATCCCAATCCCTTAATCTTAATCCCAACCTCCTAATATTAATCCTAAATACTAATACTAATATCAATACCAATATTAATATTAATCCTAAGGAGTTCACATCAACAAGGTGCATAAAATAGGAATGGACTTATGGACCTGAGGTTCATGGAAGTATTTGCCTATCAGAATCAGATGAATGATGAAAATATAAAAAAAAAGTGAATAAAATTTGAACCGATTGATAATAAATAGATAATTTGATTTGGAACAAAAAGAGTATTGGTTTGTAATATTGAATTTGATTTATATGATTATTCGAAATTGAATTATTAATGTGCAGTGAGAAATAACACTATGTTTGTTTGTGTAAATATCCTTATAATTGTTGTTCATCATACTCCGTACTTACTAATTTATTACTCTGTATGATTATTATTAGATCGGGCCTCGTTGATCCGCGAGCTTGACCATAAGCCCAAGAAGATCTCTAAGTTTGCATTCCCGAACTTTTTGACGGGCCTGAGCAGCCCGTACCCAAACATAAAAGACCAGTAACTTTGGGCCAGGGATCGGAACCGGGGCCCAGAATAGGGCCTATTCTTGACTTTCAAACTATGTTCAAAGAAAGGGCAGGGAGGGAGTAAATGGTAAATAAGCCTTGGACAGTCACGTGTACCGGTCTGCGGTACTGTTACTTTGGCATGGCAGTCACGTGTCTCCTCCTTCATTTCTCCCCTCCATTTACGTTTCATTTCAGCGACCTCTTGACAATCTTCCCCCCTTCCTCCGTCGAATCCCCGCACTATATATACACCACTCCAAACCCGTAGCTTTCACACAGGTCTCCCAGAGATTCAACAATGGCGGCCTACACTTCCTCTGTGCCCGCCGCCCCTCTTCTGAAAGACGAGCTCGATATCGTGATCCCCACGATCCGGAACCTGGATTTCCTGGAGCAGTGGAGGCCGTATTTCCAGCCCTACCACTTGATCATTGTCCAGGACGGAGATCCTTCCAAGGTCATCAAGGTCCCCCAGGGATTCGACTACGAGCTCTACAACCGCAATGACATTAACCGGATCCTCGGCCCCAAAGCCTCCTGCATCTCCTTCAAGGATTCCGCGTGCCGTTGCTTTGGATACATGGTCTCCAAGAAGAAGTATGTCTACACCATTGACGACGATTGCTTTGTGAGTCCTTTTTCCGATCCTATCCCTCGTTTTCTTCTCTTCTGTTTTTTTTTGATCTGATAATCTCCAGGTTTAGTTCCATATTGTGATTTTCGCCTTTCGATTGTCTGATTTGAGTTTAGTTTCGAATCGATCTACTTCAGTGTTTCTGAGTACTGCTTTAGATTTTGATTTTGGTGTTTTTTTCTTCAAAATTGCTGAACTGTTTTGTTTCCAGAATGGATCTTCTCATATGTCTCCAATTTAACACTTTGATCATTCATATTTGCATTTATTCATGGAAATATTTTATGAAAACTTAATACTTCAAAATCACATTTTATAATGAAACTGTTGATATTATATTTATAGACTTTTAAATCATTCAAACTTTTCAGCATTTAGAATGTCTTTTTTAATGCTCCGAATATGGATAAGAATGAATCTTTGGGATTGACATTGCAAGGTCTGTTCTTTGGTATGTACAGGTAGCTAAAGATCCTTCTGGAAAGGAAATTAATGCGCTGGAGCAGCATATTAAGAACCTGTTATCTCCATCTTCTCCATTCTTCTTCAACACATTGTATGATCCCTACCGAGAGGGAGCAGACTATGTGCGCGGGTACCCCTTCAGTCTCCGAGATGGTGCCCCAACCGCTGTTTCCCATGGCCTGTGGCTTAACATCCCAGATTATGATGCCCCAACCCAGCTTGTCAAGCCTCTTGAGAGGAACACTAGGTCCATTGCTATGACTCTAGTCATTGTGTAAATACTGAGTACTAATGATTTTATCAGGCACATCTAACCAAATCAGTATATCATGCCCAAATGCTTCTATCCATGAACTCATTTTATGGTTTTATAAGCATTTACTGTGACGGATTTGGTTGAACTTGCCTTAGGAGATCATTACTAGGCACACACTCAACTCGGGTCGAGCTAACACATTGCTATGTTTCTCTAGGTATGTTGATGCGGTGATGACAATACCAAAGGGAACCTTATTTCCAATGTGTGGTATGAATTTGGCGTTTGACCGTAATCTGATTGGCCCTGCCATGTATTTTGGACTAATGGGCGATGGGCAGCCTATTGGTCGCTATGATGATATGTGGGCTGGCTGGTGTACCAAGGTAAAGTAGTACTACACACTCTATGGTCTTGTTTGGAAGCTAGATTTTTCATGATTGTATTTTAGAATTTAGATTGGATAGGAGTCATTCAACTGAATAACAAGACACTTTGACTAAATCACACTTATATTGAATTCAATCGATTATCTAGTTCAAAATTTCAAATCCAGGACTTATTAACTGATCATTGTTTGTTCTTCAAGGTTTTGAGGTGAGATTCTAATTTTGTTTTTGGGGGAGGGAGAGTCCAATACAAATGATCAGCTAGTTGAATTCAAAATGACTCGATTGGCCAAATGTAGCGATAACACCTATAGAATCACGAGTGGCTGGGTATGGATGTCCACATACTCAGTTATGTTAAATGGCCTTGTGTATGAACTTCCATACGGGCATTATGCTAAAGAATTACGGGTTGTTGGGATTGGATTAGACCGAACAATTGTACAAATGAGGCGGGCCAAAACCTATTCCCATACCATGTTAGTATATTAGATTGGGTGGAGGTCACTCTTCTGGACCATTAGATATTGCAACCTAATCACGTAAAGGATTGAATCCAATTGTTCAATTCAAAACCTTATTAACCCATTATTTTCTCTTCAAATATCTTACATGGGTCTCTAACATTGTACTCCCTATTAAATGTTTCCGCAAGTAGATTGTGTTAGTTGTTTTGATGAGTTGATTATCATAATGCTATAAGGTCTTCTACGGAATTGGACATATATCCTTGAGATAAACACCATCTGCGAAAGAATCTGTTGATTCCTGCAGTGTTTGAAGCTGTTAAAAAATAAACTCTAAATATTATACTCATAGCTATATAGTATGTCATGTTCATATAATGAGTTCCATCGTCGATCTATCATTGTGGCCTGGTGTACCGTAGGTGATCTGCGACCACTTTGGGTGGGGAGTGAAGACAGGACTGCCATACATTTGGCACAGCAAGGCCAGCAATCCATTCGTGAACCTTAAGAAGGAATACAAGGGGATCTATTGGCAGGAGGAGCTCATCCCGTTTTTCCAGTCGGTCACCCTCCCAAATGAGTGCACCACCGTGCAGTCGTGCTACCTTGAGCTGGCCAAGCAAGTGAAAGCCAAGCTTGGCAAGGTTGATGCTTACTTCACCCAGCTTTCTGATGCCATGGTCACGTGGATTCACGCTTGGGATGAGCTCAACCCGCCGCCACCCACCTCTGCCACGCTTCCCAATGGAACCTCCGCAAATGGCTCAAAGTCATCGTAAAGCTTTCTTTCCCAGGAGGCCATGCTTGGACTTGTACTTCAATTCTATTCTAGGCTTGTGTAAGGATCCGAGAGAGTACTTTTTTTCTGTCTTTATTTGTTCTTCAATATAATGAATTTCAAACCATATCTTTGTTTTCCAGCATTAGAGTCTATATGATACACATACACACAGTGAGAAAGTGAAATTTTATTTTTGTTACTACAGAAGTATGGAATAATCATATGTTGTTATATATAGGGCTCTGATTATTTGTCTTAGGTTTCAATATACACCATACCTGCAGTGTGATCTTTCATATTTTGTTACAAATGAATTGAATTAGGAGCATTATGGCAAACGGAGTGTTCACTATATTATTATAGGGAGTATTCTAGTTAAGATTTTATTTGGTTGGTTGATAACAACCACTAGGGTTCTAGAGCCACTCAGCTTCGGAATACACCGACTCAGTTGGGACACTTACGGTATTCTGTTTGAAAAATTGATACTCCTACCAGCCAGCCACGATCTAAACACATCTCTACACTCCTATCAATTGCATCCCGCAAGTTTAATTGATTCTGAAGTCAAAATTTTTGACCCCAAAATTAACTAAACTTGCGAGGTGCAATGGATGAAGTGTGAGAATGAGTTCGGGTTCCGGGTGGAAGATTTATCAGGCCGCTTATGGGCTCCATGGAGCCCAAAATGAATTTTATACTTTGCCTTTACATAATTTTTGAAAAAAAGATAAAAGTTTGTGTTTCATTTCAATATTAAGAGGATATAAGACACACCTTTCACATTTTTCATCAAATACGGAGTACAATACAAACATTTGTCACACAAAAAATAAGAGGCAAATAAAAAAAAGCCAACCATATCGGCGAGCAAACAATAAACAACACAACAACAACAACCCAGTTGAATCCCACTACAGTAGGGTCTGGGGAGGGTGTGTGTACGCAGACCTTTCCCCTATTTGAAAGTAGGGAGGCTGTTTCCAAGAGACCCTCGGCTCAACCTGCACAAAAAATATGGTAGAGAACACAAAAAAACAATAAACAACACATTAAATGCAATAACGTCGTCGTTAACGTCGTGAGAAACACGCCAACGACAAAGGAAAACACTCAACGAACAGAGCAAGTAACAGAGAGATCATGCTTCCCATTTCTTAAACATCTTTATCTTTCCCCCTATTTTTTCGTTAAAAAAAAACTCCTTTAACGGCAATTTAAAAGAAAAATGTTAGGGGTACACCTTTTGGTACACCAAAGGTGTACCCCATTGGGTACACCTTGGTGTACCCCATTTGTCCCCCACCCCATCCATTACCACAAAAATGGGCAAGAAATTAAAACAAAATTAAATAAATAAAAATGAGGTTAAAATGAGTGGTAGAGAAAGGGGTGGGGGACAAATGGGGTACCCCTAGCATGGCTCAATTTAAGATGATGGAATATATTGTAATTTGATACTCCGTACTAAACAAGTTTTCAAATAAGTAATATCCATCACAGATCTACAATTTTAAAATGTCAATAAATTCTTTTTAAAATCAAACATGTTAATCATATCCTATCCAGGATTTGATATCTCCATCAACTAGTGACCAGCACCTACTGCGATTCACGTTTTCCGTCACAAACAATTTTCATGTTGTTATATCTTTATATTTCAGAACACATATCATATTAAACTTGCAGAACTCAACATACAAGCCACGAGTCTTTAAGATTAGGTATTATATTACTCCTTCCGTCCAAAACGATTATCACGGTTACAATTTGGCTTCTCGATAATGTTTGTTTGTTTACTCATTTTCAAACACCATTTGAGAAAATAAAATATTATTCTCGCATCTTATTTTGTAGATTTTTTGAATTGATGCAATTTTGAATGATATAATTTTGTACTTCTCTATCGATTTGTAAACAAAATAATTTTACTTCTCTACCGGTTTGTACGGAGTATTTCTTACTTCTCTACTGATTTGTAAACAAAATAATTTTAAAAAGATGATGTTTTGCACGTTGTTTGAATGTGGTGAATATTTTTGGGTAGGGAGAGTATTATCAGAAAAAAGTCTAAAGTATGAGTAAAACATTGAAAGTATATCATAATAGAAATTCAATGTTTTTATTCCTGAAATAGGAGTTAAAATTCATTTACATTACCAATCATGACCATTTACATTACCAAAAAATATAGTAAAATGTATATGTACAGTGTCACATTATTACAATACAAGTCCTATTTAGAGAATAAAAACATAGAACTCATATCTTAGTGTTTTATCAATATTTTAAGGTGATTTCTTAGTATTAGAAGACATTCCAACTTTAACTCATTTGAATTTGTGTAATAAAGTATAAATCACTCAAGACACTCAGCGTATTTAGCGGATAAAATGCCATTTATTCAACGTCAAATACCATGTTTTTTTACTATAGGATACCATGTTTTTTATAACTGAAATGACACGGAGTATGGCAATTTTAGAAAAGTAATTAAAAAATTACAAAAACTAAAAAGAAAAAAATTAAAAAGAGAGATAAAAATCAGGTTGTATCCCACATTGCTGTTTCTTTTTTTAGAAACTGGAAAAAGTATTTTCAAAAGCGTGAGAATCTTTTGAAAAAATTGAAACACTTAGCGGAAAAAAAGACAAAAAATTGCTTTACCCATATTTCACCGTTCCCTTTCTCATTTTTTTACGGGAAATTATTGAACAACATTTTCAATGGGCACGGAGTAAATTTTGAACACAATGATAATCATTTGAGAAATTAGACGCATTAGTTTCACATTTAAGATAAAGATATTCAATCAATATTTAAATCTTATTCTATCTGTCCCACTATTTTCAGACATGAAAAAATATCACAAAAATATAAAAAACTAATTCAAATCATATGTCCATTACCGATTTAAACATGATATATATATATATATATATATATATATATATATATATATATATATATATATATATATATATATATATATATATATATATATATATATAGTATCAATTTTAAAATAAAATGAATTGAAAAAACTTTAAAATTTCACTTCGTTTTGCATAAGTGAATATAATTATAAATAGAAAGAAGTACTTGTTTTTAAATAAAATTATTATAATAAGGATACACTCACTCCATTCTAAAAAAGTGAAAGTATTTTGTTGGAAGTAGAGAAATGAAAGAGAAAGTGTTTTTGAGAACTGAGGAAGTATTTTTCTTGTCGTTTTAAAATAAGATATCCTTGGCTAGAAAAGGATGCCGTATTACATAAAAACGAATTGAATTTCAGATTTGTTAAATTAGTTTTATTTAAGGATGCATATAAAATAAGTTTAAAATAAAAAAAATTATTTTATAAAATTTTTCATGAAAATTTACAAATAAAATGCCATATATTTTCAAATAGCGAAACGCAATGCAATTGGAGAATTCTCCAAAATGGAGCACATTTCTCAATCAATCACTCCATCAATCAAGATGAGTCTTATCATATGGAACGCGCATTCCTTTATTCCTTTTTCTTCCATAAAAAAAACTTCATACTCAATAGTCATTCATAAAAAATAGACCTCATTTTTTGTCATTAATCTATGATCAAAGTCTAATTTATCATCTCTCACTAATTGTCTGACCGGGTTTGAGGAGATCTTGAAGATGAGGCTCATCATCATTTTTCTATTAATTTTTTACGAATAAAAATTATATCAAATTTAACTCGGCACATATATATATATAAAGACACCACAACTGCATCTCACTTCAACTTATTATTACTCCCACCTTAAATAAATACGTACGGTGTAAATAGATACCCACCCGCAGATTAATTCGTTTCTGCACCAAAGGAGCGAATAAAGATTAAAATAAATAAATAAAAAAAGAAGAAAGAAATCAAAAAGAAAGAAAGATGCTGGCGCTGCTGGGGTGTGCGGTGTCCCACGTGTCATCGCGGTCGCCCATCCGGACGTACAAGAAATCCGGCAGCCTGATGGAGGATCTGGAGAAGTCCATGTTCTCCGCCCGGAGCAGCGCCGCGTCGACGGGATGTCTCAACGGCGGCGCTGACACGAAGCCTTCGTCGCAGGACCAGCAGTCGGCCGCCGCCGCAGCAAACAACAAAGTGATGGTTGTGGTCAACCATAGCCCGGAGGCCGAACACGCGCTGCAGTGGGCTCTCACCCACACCATCCAAACCCACGATGTGGTCGTTCTCCTCCACGTCACCCGACCCTGTAAACAAGGTTAATTAATTACTCTCACAATGTTTAATCTTTTTTTATTATTATTATTTCTCCATCATTATATATATATACACACATAATTGGGGAGTAATTAATTTAATTTGCAGGTGGGAACTCGAATAGTGAACACAATAATGTGAGGGCCGGCCATGACGTTCTCTGTAAAATGGAGAGCATTTGTCAAGCAATGAGACCCGGGGTATGTATGTAATTATAAGCATTTATATTACTCTTATTTTATTAGTGCATGTAAACAACTCTTAGTCTTTTAATATATTTATTTATGTCGATGTGAGACTTTTATCCTCAACCATTATTTTATTTTTAGCTTATTTGTGACAAGCTTGCACTAATGATTACTTCCCTCGTCTCTCTATGTATTAAAACTATACTTCATGGGTCCCGTAAAACAGTCCATGTTTTTGACTTTTAGGAGTGAGAAAGTTTTGAAGTTTGACAAAAGTTAAATAACGACAATTGAAACCAGTATGGTTCGAAAAATGTCAAAATGAATATGCCGTAGTAAGTAGTTGAGGTAAGTTCGGTTAGATTTAAGAAAAATTAAGGCAATTGTGTCTAGGGGTGGACACGGTACCGGTACCGGAAACGGTACCGCTGGTTCCGGGAACCGGTACCGGTACCGCCCAATCCGGTACCGGTTCCGGTGCCCATTTTTCGGTACCGGCACCGGCGGTTCCGGTTCCGGTACCGTTACCGTTTTTTTTTATTTTTATTTTTTTATTTCATTCTTTCCTTTATCAATTTCATTTTTAGATTTCTTTATTTCATCATTTCCTTTAACAATTACACATTTACAATTTTACATTTTAAAAATATAATAAAAAAGCAAAAAAAAACAAAATTAGGGGTGGCCGAAACGGTACCGGAACCGGCGGTACCGGAACCGGTACCGGTACCGGCCAGTCCGGTACCGGTACCAAGGGGTGGCGGTACCGGAACCGTCCCGGAACCGTACCGTGTCCACCCCTAATTGTGTCTGTTTCACCTAAATTGAAATGGTTTATGGGACAAGTTGAAACAGTTTATGGGACAGAAAAAATATTATACTATCAATTGTGTGGTAAAAATAAGCAAATAAGGTGAACTAAGTTTAATTACCATTTTGTATACGGAAAGATCGGGACGAAGGAGTTAGATGGAACATTAAAAATGATTTGCCGAATTTGTCATGCCAATTAAGGGAAAGTGAAAAAGAGAAAGTTCTAAAGTGAGGGTAGACGAGTCATTTTATTTGTTTAAAGCTACCGAAAAAGAAAAGAAAAAAAATGGATGGAGGGAGTATTTGTTAGACAAATGTATAAAAAGATTTCTGGACATTTTACATAACATTGACTTTTTAGTTAACAAATGATTTGGTGATATATTTGGCAATTAATTAAGATTTGGGTTTCAAATAATTAAAGATTTAATATACAAAATTCAAATAAATTCAAATAAATTTATAGGTTCGGGTGAACTGTGTGCTGCAACAAGGGAAGGAGAAGGGGAGTGTGATAGTGGAAGCAGCGAAGCAGCAGGGAGTGAGCCTGCTGGTTTTGGGCCAGAAGAGAAGATCCAAGCTGTGGCGCCTCCGCATGGCCTGGTCCACTCGGAGGGCCCAATCTAAGCTCATCAACCACTGCATCCATAACGCCGCCTGCATGGCCATCGCCGTCCGCCGCAAGAACCGGAAACACGGCGGCTATTTGATCACCACCAAGAGCCACAAGAACTTCTGGCTTCTGGCTTAATAATCTCACCGGCCTATTCATTCTTTCATTCATACATACATCCCTCCATCTTTTTTGGTTTCTTTATTGTTCTAGCTAGCCACACTTAATGTTGCATTTGTTTTTTTTTCCAACTTGGAACATTATATATATGCTCAAGTAATTATTTTGAGACACATTTTAGTGTCCCTTTTGTATCAGTGTCTCCGTCCTTTAAAGATGTTCCTATTATGACTTTTAGAAAATTTAAGGGAGGATTACTTTTGTGTTGATCGACTTTCTAAAAAATCCTTGATGTGATGGGTAAAAGTAAGAAGTGATGATTAGATTATTAGTAAAAAAATATGATGTGATAAATAAGTTTTGATTTAAAAGTGAAAAATTGATTTTTTAATTGAAAGAGGAATGACTTTGTGGGACAAGAAAAAGGAGAAACGAGAGAGCATTATATTTGGTGCTTAGATGGTTCCGTATTTGTGTTTTGTAAATGTTACAACCTATCCAATGTCTAGTCCGTTCGATATTTGTTTTCCTTTGTTTTACAACGTACGAGCTTTCAATTGTTTCATTATATATATATTTATCTGAGTTGATATTTTTTAATGTATTTCTAAGTCGATTTGCGCATAATCTTGGCTTGGAAGTCATTACTAGAGCTTGTGAGCTGTGAGAAATATAGACGACGCATTGATGAAACAAATCAAATTTGAAAGTTATAGGTTGTCGAACAAATTAAAGATGATAATGTACGCCACCCAAATTCAACTCAATTAACACGACTTTCTTGTCATAATATGACCGCTGAATGATCTAGGCAGCCTATGATACGAATTCTTTTTGACAAAAAAAGTTTTTCGTGCCCCTAACACTCTACATACAAACCCCCCACCCTCATCCTAATCCCCACTCCATCCTCTTGAACCCGGCCTACACCCAATTTAATTTAGATGAGAATCCAGTTTCACATTAAAACTACACATTTATTATTTCCCTATACCTCAAACTAATTATAGAACAAATATTCCCGAAATCATTTTGGAACAAAATACTTCTGTGTCTCAAAGTAATCATGTAGTTTACTTTTTTCGAGTAAATATGAATTAAAGTGATGATCAAGAACAAGTCTAAGTAAATTATTTTTACATTTAAAATATAATTTAAGATCAAACTAGCAAGATAAACATGCTAAGATTGAAGACAATAACTTTGCCCTTCAATCTAAAATTCAAAGCGAGGTTGTCGTGACATTAAACTTCAATGTCATTGGATGACATTGACACTAAATAGCATACTTACGATGTTCGATTCGTAAAATTGATAGTTCCTATCCTCATAACCTTCTAGAAACCCCTCCGGGTCCCAACCCGAACGTACCCTCTAATTGTTTTGAACTTACTTCCCACTTGGTTTAATTACACGTCATATTATGGAGATAAAAATCATTAATTTTATGAATTGAATACTATAAGTGTTCAAATTAAAGCTAATGTGACGCAGGAGAACTAAAAAATGATTCATAATATAATTGAGGAGTAGACATTGATATCCGTACATTTAGTTAGAGCAGAGAAGAAAGAGTTTCAACGGGAACGTGCATACGTGTGTCATGATGGCCCTACTTCTACGACAGCTCGCTCATCTTAGCCGCCGGAATCCGGGGACCAGGGAGGCAACACCGACCAACTTCCGGCGGTTAATTAAATTCATACTCATTACCCAATGGAAAAAAAATAAATTAAATTTATACTCATTGCAAACTTAAAGTTCGTCATTTTTTTTCTGGATAAACGAATCGTAATTAGGAGATTATTAAGGTACAATTAAGCGTAATTGGCATTTATTTCCTTATAAATCTCCTCTCTCTTCATTAGGGAATTAAAAAAAAAGAGTAACTCCCCTGCATCCTCTCTTTAATTATAGTAATTAACTTCTTTTATTTAATTTCAAAATTCAAATCCTCAATTCCCTCCCTCAAATTACCTTAATTTCATCGAATTGAAGTGCTAACAGTTAATCACACGTCCAAATAATTCTCATTCTTCAGTTCTGAGTATTAACACGTTATAATTATCATAATCTCCTTCATGCTTGTTGATCGAACGAATAATAGTACGATGAACTTGGACCCCAGTGATGGCGGCAGAGGCAGAGAGAGCGACGACGGGAAAAGGTTGCCGGAGGAGGAGGAAACGGCGGCGGCGAATGAGGAAGACGACGGCAGTTGGCCCCACTTCGAAGAGGAGGACTACATAGTTTTCTGCTTCACCGAGGACGGAGAAATTCACGTGGTTGAAGACAGAAGATCCGAGTCGTCCTCTGCCGTTCCTCGTACAAACATAAAGCTTAGGTCACTTCGCCGGAGGGTAAGATCGTCTTTTCCTATTTCAAAAATATGTTAATTGTACCTCATTTAGACCCAATGATGGTGTCAAATTAGGTGTAACCCTAACGCAATTCTCAATCATTTCATGCCCTGTAAAGGTGTGTATTTCGAGTCTTGCATGTGAAATTTTATTTTGTAATTCGTAATTCGTAAAAAACCAATGGTTACGGACAAGAAAGATTTTTATATTCTAATAATAAACCACTCTGCAACAAAGAGCAGCTTATGTACGAAGAAAATGGAGAAAGAGGTTACGTTGATGAGGAAAGAGGAGATATTGTCATGCCACGTGAAAAGGTTTTCAAAAAAAAACCCTTTCTTATTGATGGCGATTTGAGCTTTTCTGGTAAAATTAAGTTTGGAGTTTTTAATTAATTGTGAAGGGGGCATTTTGCATGGAGGAGGGGGAAGAGAGTGGGAGGGGAGATGGAGAAGGGGCAAAAGAGACAATTTGCACAAGATGTGATGATGATGATGGGGGTAGATTGGAATCTTGTGAATCAAGAAGTGGACAATATGATCATTCAAGTGCCAGCAGAAGCTCCTTTGCCTTCCCTGTGTAAGTACTATACACTTTCCACGTTAAAAACTTCTTCCCCTTTTGATTTTTTTAATTATACAATAATACTCTTTAATCATAAATTGTAAAAAAAATATATTTAATTTTGATATAAAGTTAATATATATGGGTCGATGTTAATATAATAAATCAAATATATTTAGCATTTATTAATTTAAATTATATTTAATTTGTGATTAAAAGATGTTAATGTCTGAGTAAAAAAAATTAAAATAAAGAATTTATGGGCGGGAGGAAGTAATTTGTAGTACCCGGCGGCAGTAATGAATTTACAAGGTTGCCCCTAGCTAGTAGCCCACTAGTGAGAAGTAGGGAGGTCCTAGTGAGGAGGAGGGGGTGGGAGGGAGAGGCTTTAATGAATGAATTGATTCATTATTTGAGTACCCACCCACCCGTCTTTGTCTTTTGGGTACCCACCCGTCTCTGTCTTGTCTCGGTACAATTTAATTCATGACCAATCTAAGTTGAATGAATTGGTTTGATTCTTTGTGTTTGCAGATTAGGGTGGGAGTGGGTGGGGAGTCCAGTTCACATGCCCAAACCCGACGACGGCCCATACTCGAAGAAGCATAGAGCCCGACGCCTTTTCATACACTGTTGCGGATTTTGATTCAAACAAACCAATCCGCCCGGCCTCTTATTTAATTCCGTCCACTCTCTCATTCTAAATTTGTCATGTAGAATTGCATCTTGTCTTTCTTTATTATATTTAAATACATATATCAAATACACACACACATATATAATATACTACCTGTCCTCATATTTTTATTTACATTATCTTTGTTTCAAGAAATTTGAGAGAAAAAAGAAATAAAATGAGAAAGAAAACATTTTTCTTGTTTAGTTGGAGAAGAAAAGAAAAGAAAAGCGGAAGGAAACGAAAATGAGAGACATGAGAAAAAAACCATTTTGTTTTCTATAAAGAGAAGCATAAATTAAATTTCTTTCATTTTAGTGAGCAAAATCAGCAAATTGGGAAAAAAACTAATTTATTCTCTTTTTATTTCAAACTTCCTGAATCAAACATAATGATAATGTTTGGATTCGCTCTTCTATAAAAAAGGTTATTAACTTTAGATTCGTGTGGTTCGTAATGTTGTACTCCCCCTGTCCCAATTCATTTGCACTGTTCGAACAACATGAAAGAATATTACACTACAAAACAATATGCGATAAAAATATTTCTTTAGATTCAGGTATATCTAATTTTTTCGGGATGGTATATCTATTTTTTTAAAAAAAGATAAACCGATGGGTCCCACATGATACAATTGCAATGTGACTTACAAGTATGTCCAAAACAAAGACATTAATTTCAAGATTGGGGCAATGGGGATTATGGTATGTATGTTTGTTTGTACTTTGGACTGAGTATAATAAAAGCACCTTAAGAGAGGGACCCAATTCTTTGCTTGTGTATTGAGCCTTCATATCAACGTGGCCCCATAACTCCAATACTCCAAAGTGTACTACCTCCCTCACCCACTTTTTTTTACAATTAAATTTTCTGGTTTACAATTTAAAAATCAAAGTTTGTGATTTAAAATTTGTCAAGAGTATTTTTTTTAATAAAAAAATTGACATATTTACTCATTGTTAGCATATCAAGACATATAGTTAAACTAAGCCCTCCAAACTCCAAAGATTATCCTCCAAAACCATAAATCAAAACTACCCCTTTAGGCCCATAGGGCTTGGGCATATTAAGACATGAATTAATAGGGGGGAAAAAGAGTGTTAATAACTCTTAATATACAAAGTTACAAACAGAGATCATCCATTGCTATTATCATCCAGTGATGAGTACATTTTCGCCGTCCCAAACGAAACAGAACATTTGCAGAAAGACTGCAGAGAATATAAGCAGCTAAAATATCAGTAGTCCTTAGCTTTCTAACAACTGGTTTAACACACACTTACATATGTGGAATTAGAGTGAACTGTTTCCTCTTCTGGTAGAAATGCATCACAACAAAAGCAGTAGCGATTGCATCGGTTTTCTTGCAGCCAATGCTTCTGCAATTGATAAATCGTCTTCCCTTTCTCTATTCGCAGCCAATGCAGCAACATAAGCTTCCTGCGCTGCCTCCAACTTTCGCATCTCCGTCTCGTTCAGGTCCTCCTGTTCAGGTTATATGTAATTAACCAAAGATATATTTATGTATGTGGAGTAATGGTCAACGGTTGCTAGCATATATACCATTTGTTTCGGCTGGTCACCCCAAAGATAGCCAACATCATAATCATCTTCGGCATATGTTGTGTTGCTCTTTGTCAACTCTCCTACAAACTTCATTACTTCTTCTAGATCTTTCTCAAGCTTTTCCGCCTTCTTGATGGAAGTTGTTGCTTCCCATTCTAATTTCTCCACGGCAGCTTGCTTGTCAGCTAGCTTTACCTAATTCAAAATAGTCACTTTGATACATGAAAGCATATTCTTTTTGTTTTCTTTTGCAGAATGTCGTTAATCTTGGTTTCATGTTCAAATTGTAGTCAAATAGTTATGTATTAAGTTCTTAATTTCAGCACTAATCGAGCATTGTAGTCAAGACAAGTGGATTACACATGGTTTCCATTGATTAAGGTTAATTGACTTGTCATTTCTATTTATATGCGGGGAATAAATTGGATCTGACCAAATAGAGGCATCGTACACACCTTCACATCGGATAGCTGGATTTGAGTGGATTCAAGTAAGGAGTCTTTTTTGGCAAGTTCCTTTTGAATCTCATCTAGTTTGGAGTGGAAGGAAGCCATCTCAATCTTTGAATCCTCAAATTCTTTCAGAAGTTCATCTTTCTCCAACACTTGTCTCTGTAAGTCCTCTACCTGCTTCCTTAATGCAAGGAGTTCCTCTCTTTCATTCTCAGATAGGGAAGACCTCGACGACAAGTCCCCGCATCCATCAAGATTAGACCCAACACTTCGGTTTTCCTTTCGTCTGGAAATTTTTTGAGTTGTATTTCTTCCATTTGGTTCAGATGCCTATCACATTGGTTGTTTTAAATCATAAAGGTGAAACAACATAAAATAAGCCACCAAATCAAGGAAAGAAAGAAGAAGCAAACTATTTGAATTCAAAGTATGTAAAGAGTTCAACGAACATTGGGATTTTCAAATTGCATGCTTTTATCAACAGCTTTAGTGCCCATTTATTAAGGGCTATTTGGGTGAAATCAAAACATCAACTGAACTTTATAAAAAGAATAATGTTTGGTAACATCCATGAGAGCCAAATAAGTAAAGTAACACTACATACTAGTTATTCTGCTTATTATATCAGCAAAATACACAATATAAGCAAGAAATGGCCATCAAACGTCCTCTTACGGCTTGTTTGGTAAATGGTTTTGACTTATTCTAATTATTCGGTGGTACAAGTAAAATAAGTAACGTTTTGACTTGTGTATTAATTAGTGGGCTGAAAACAGACATGAAGGGATGTAACCAAATGTTTTTATTTTTAGAAGATTCAGCCATTTTGGCCAAGTAATTTACCAAACAGGCACACCTAAATGTGTAAGTTCACTCATCAAATTAGGTCCAAAACAAGTGCGGAGTATTTGGGTATCGAGACGAGTCAGGTGACAATTAATGCTACGAAATACTGAAGAGGAATTCAGCACAAGAAAACTCTGAAACACTGCTTTGGGTCACACATTTTTCAAAAGGGAACACTTGAGTTACAAAATTAAACATAATTTCCAGTAAGGCTGTGATCAAAATTAAACAAAAGTTCAAGTATTTGGATGAAATTAGCTGAAAAAATTGTACCTTTTTATACAAAGAATCCCTAGAAGGTGTCTTGGTGTAGATCACTGATCCCTTGCGGGTAAACGAAGTGTTTGGTTTCTGATCCTGCAAGATTCACAAGCCAAGCAAGCATTAGAAGGACCCAAAAATCCCCAAATCAGACTAATCTGCAAGAAAAAAAATGTTAGGGAATGGAAAACCCAAACCGGACCTGACTTGATTTCAATAGCTCTTCCCAAGAAAATTAGGGAAAGTAATTATCACAAAATAAAGTGCTGAAAATGGAAATAAGTAGGAATACTGACGATGAGTGACATGACGAGAGGCACCATCTCAACGAGTTCGTTGAAGATGCTCGGGTCAACATTGGCAGCGGCTGCAAAGGAAGCAGCGGAGAAGGAGGAGTCGGCACGGCGGGGGGGTGACGTCGGCGGCGGGGAGGGGACGCCGCCGGAAAGCCACGACTGGGGATCCGTTCCGTCTCCACCGAATCTGCCGCTCCCGGCGTCGTGCGGATCCAACAAGTGCCGAGGATCGTACATGGCGGTGACCGGCGGACGGAGATCGGATTTGATTCTTCTGGTGAGAGTGCCCCGACCGTATAGTCAGTCCAGTCTTCGAGAATTTTAAATTGGGAAAGAAAAATTGAAACTTTGAAGTTTACGTTATTGCAAAAAAAAGGGAGGAGACATTTTATGCTTTTACCAAACTACCCCTAGCAATTCAACAGTCTCAGACGTAAAATTTCGAACAAAAGATTTATGTGCGGGAGTAACCTTTCAAAAATTGTAGGAAGCTCTCTCTATGCAAGGAACCCCGGTCCGAGTCTTTATTGTCGGTTGTGTCACCATTATTTATCTCCTCTTATAATTACATCATGCACGGGGTGAGAGATGTCTAAGGTAACGATTTTACCTTGAATATATGGATGATGAATATTAAAGGGGTCTGAATTGAGTGAAAAGATTAAAACTTATGATAATAGTTCTTAAAATTAAGATTGAAAATAATTTAAATTCATTTATAATGTTCTTCTTTTCAAATTTTAATACAGAATAATATTATTTTATCCGTCTTATAAAAATTTACTTATTTTGTTTTCACTATGATTTAAAAAGTATGAAAATGATAAGATTGTTAAAATGTAAGTGGCATATATTTTTAAAATATTTTTTATTATACTAATATACATTATAATTTTTGATTAAATCAGTCAAACAAAACAAACTTCGAGCTTTAATTAAATAAAAATTGTAATGTATATTAGTATAAAAATGACTTAATTAGATTTATCTTGATAAGAT